GCCCATTCACATTCCAGGACTGATCACCCGCAGGTGATTGCTGCACAGCGATTACATGCAAGCGGCAGCCTCCTATTGCATTCAAAGGGCTAACTGCAGGGATCCCCTGCTTGAAAGAATCCCTAACCTGTTGCCACCCATGGACAACTACCAGGGGCGTTTTTACCACAAGGCAAACAAGGCATTTGCCTAGGGCGGAAGTTTTCAGGGGGGCAGCATCTCCACCCAGAAGGGATGAAAGAAGGAGCACGTATGCCATGGGAACCAGGTGGAATCTGCATGAGGCTGCGGTTGCTTGATGGTGTATGTAGAGCCTGCCTCTCATTCCCGAGTATGTCTGGAGCTCTGAAGAGGATTGTCTTTTTCACTATTGCCTGGGAGGTTAGTGGAAGGCTCTCCCGAGTGGGGGGCAGGGGTGTTGTTGGTCAATGTCAGAAATGTCAGGCTCTCTAAACTGGAGGGGGAATTGGGGGGGGTGTTGGTTGGTGTCCGTGGGCGGCAGACAACTTTTGTGTTGCCTAGGGCAGCACAAAACCAAAATACACCACTGACAACTACAGTATGTGTGGTGGAAGAACTGCGGGAATTCGTTGCACATGTGTGTGACTAGGGAGGGAGGCAAGGTTTCTGTCCAGAGAGCGTGCTCACTGTGAGCTCCCAGCACAGAGACCGACCTGTCAAAAAAAAAAAGCTCTTGGTTCCCATTACCGGTCGTAGCTAGTGAAACCGGGTTCTGATCATGTGACCACTGACAGCCAATCAAAGTGGCTGCAATGTGGTCTGCCTACTGTGCACACTTCTTGATCAGGCCACTGGCAGCCAGCAACCAATTCAAGGATTGCACCCAACAAGCTGACAACAGTTCTGCTAATTGTAAGGCAGTGGCCCAGAATGGTTTGCCTGAAACAGGATAAGCCATTAATGGCAGGATCTCAAGGTAAGAAACTTTGCAAAAGATTCATAAAAAAGGATTTACTTAAGAAACTGTATATCAGCCTCTCTCAACATTTTCAACACGGAGGAACCCTTGAAACAAAATTTCCAAACTCAGGGAACCCCTTCTAAAAATGACTGTCTACAGCTCATGATACATTTGTGTGATGGTCAGTGGGAAGAATGTTCCTCACACTTGTGGTCATTGGGAATAATTACCCCCTTACAGATAGATGAAAAGATCAATGGTGTCAGTGGGAACTTATCTGAGAGGCAGAAATTGTTCATTGCTCAAGGCAACCCAGCAACCTCTGGAGGAAACCTAGTTGAGGAACCCTTGAAATAGCTTTCCAGTCTCCAGGAACCCCTGCTAAAAATGACTAGATCTACATCTCATGATACCTCTGTGTGATGGTCAGTGGGAAGAATGTTCCCACACTTGTGGTCATTGGGAAGAATTACCCTCTTACAGATAGATGAAAAGATCAATGGTGTCAGTGGGAAGTTATCTGCGAGAAAGAAATTGTTCATTGCTCAAGGAACCCCTGGCAACCTCTGGAGGAATATGGTCAGCCATGAATTCAAACATACTGAAAAATAGAATTTAGGCTTACATACACAATTCCTTATTCACGCATCCTAAATCGCTCACGGTGCACTGTGGATACCAGAGGCCAGGATCCCAAGTGATCCTCTCAGTGGTGGCCACTCAGTCTGTTCAACTCAATGACCTGCTGAAAGGAGCTGGGTCTTTCCATCATCCGACAGATGTCTGACTCTGGATGCAAAAAGAATGGAAAACTGTGCATGATCGGGAAAAAAAATGGATAAAAATCAGCCACCACCAATCAACATTGGGCAGTCAGTGTCCAATAAAAGTAGGCTCTGGTCAAGTGATATTTTCATCTGTACTATGTGGTAGCTGTCCATTTTATTGGTCTTTTTATTAAAAGGTCTTCAGAAATCAGCATATATGTGCCTATCTTGGTTAGGAGGTAAGACTTAGAGGTTAGGGTAATTTAAAGCGTATGCAAGCCCTAATAATGGTCTTATTTGGTCCCCTTGGGTCTGTCAAATATGTAATAGATAGCATTTTGCTACATATGTTGGATAAAGGCAAGAAATCTTGGCAGCTGATAATTTCCTATGCTCTCTGACTGTACTATTCTCGTATCGGCAACATTGTTCCCAGCTCTCTGAGGACAACAGAACATCTCCCCCTTTGTCCTCCTCTCCAAACCCCAACATACTTTTTCTTTCTTTTGGTGACAGCACTACTTTTTCATTAATACAAGGATTGGTCAATGCTTAGTGCAACATTTCTCAACCTTCTTACCCAAGCAGAACTTGAAATTTATTTCAGGTCTAGGGAGAACGCTGCTAAAACCGTTCATCAGGGGTCAGAGAGAAAAAAAACACAAATAAAAAGATCCCTGGTGTCATGTCACTAGTTTGGCCAAGTGGTCTTGGTCCTGGAACTATGCAGCCAACATCAGATGGGTTGTCAATCAGCCAACGTTCAAGGAACCCTAGTTTCTCAGTTCCTTAACCCTAGAGAATGGCTGACTTAGAGGAAACGTACATATCAGGATTTCTGACTTTTATCCCACTTTCCAAACCTGCATTTCTAGTTTATGATCAGTGATGCTGAAAGTATTGAAGACACAAGCTCCTATCTTAACAATCAGCCAATTCAAATTTTTTGAAGTCATCAATTGCAGATCCACACATATATCTCAAAACAGGTTTACTTTAGGCTAAGGTAGTAGAAGATTAGGTTCAGAGGTATACTTTAGGCTAAGGGAGTAGAAGGTTAGAGTCAGAGGTATACTTTAGGCTAAGGGAGTAGAAGGTTAGGGTCAGAGGTATACTTTAGGCTAAGGGAGTAGAAGGTTAGGGTCAGAGGTATACTTTAGGCTAAGGGAGTAGAAGGTTAGAGTCAGAGGTATACTTTAGGCTAAGGGAGTAGAAGGTTAGGGTCAGAGGTATACTTTAGGCTAAGGGAGTAGAAGGTTAGGTTCAGAGGTATACTTTAGGCTAAGGGAGTAGAAGGTTAGAGTCAGAGGTATACTTTAGGCTAAGGGAGTAGAAGGTTAGGTTCAGAGGTATACTTTAGGCTAAGGGAGTAGAAGGTTAGAGTCAGAGGTATACTTTAGGCTAAGGGAGTAGGTTAGGGTCAGAGGTATACTTTAGGCTAAGGGAGTAGAAGGTTAGGGTCAGAGGTATACTTTAGGCTAAGGGAGTAGAAGGTTAGGGTCAGAGGTATACTTTAGGCTAAGGGATAGAAGGTTAGAGTCAGAGGTATACTTTAGGCTAAGGGAGTAGAAGGTTAGGGTCAGAGGTATACTTTAGGCTAAGGGAGTAGAAGGTTAGGGTCAGAGGTATACTTTAGGCTAAGGGAGGAGAAGGTTAGGGTCAGAGGGCTTAAATATATTGCATTGGGTTTCAAGAAGAGGAGATATTTTGGGGCGTAGATATAAAACCAGGACTAATCAGGCAGCTGGAACAAGCAGTCAAAGCTGTCACTCAGAAGCAAAAACTAAAACATCCACTTGGTATAGGTCAGGGTTTGCTCCCTTTAATTAGTCGTTACACTTAGCGGTGAACAAATACTGTATATGTTAAAATCAGGATCCCGAAAACCTAATATTGCAGCTAACCAGAGATTTCTGGATAAAAAGGAACATAACCTGCCACTGTAGATGCACCAGTGACAGCTCTTGAAATTTGTACAGCCCTGCATTTACTCATAATGATTTCTGATACACCTATCTGAAAGAGATGAATGCCTTGCATGAATCATGGGCAGATGGACGGTTTACGTTTTTGGTTATAACATGACAAAATGTGGAAAATGTCAAGGGGTATGAATACTTTTTCGAAGCACTGTATGCATGTATGACAAGCAGAGGGATCAGAATCCAATAGACTGTGCAGGAAGGATGAACGATCTGGGTCAATAGGACTACACAGATGGTTAGACATACGAAATGTGAGCGTAACGTCATGATCCTGAAACAAAGAATCAGGTCATAGAATGACGTCACACCTCTCCCCCAAGGCCTAAGAAGTTCCAGAGCCAGCGGTCAGCACAGGAAAGTCATGGTGACTGTTTTTTGGGATGACAAGGGCATCATTCTCCTTGATTTTCTGGAATGTGGCTATTTTATGACCAGGGAGCAGTACAATAAGACACTTAGGTTAGAGAAGGCATTAGGAGGAAAAGACCAAACAAGAACCTGAAAATGACCCACACATTCGCCATGACAATGCATGACAACACACATATTTGGCAACAAAATCAGGCAATCAGCAAATTCAGCTGGTCAGTGGGCCCCGATCCACTGTACAGTCCAGATTTAGCACCATTCAACTTCAACTTGTTCAGTCCAATGATCATTTGGTACAACAATTTGGTGCCAAAGACAAGGTGAAAGACTGTTAAGAAGTAGGTGCACATCAAAGAGGGTTCCATAGTTGGGTTCAACGATGGTACAAATGCATCATGTGTGATGAAGACTTTTGTTGCATAGAACCTTTGTTTACAGCACGGTCTCCAAACTTTCTAAACAAAGGGTCAGTTTATTGTCCTTCAGACTTTAGGGGGGGCCAGACTGGCCAGCAGGTGTGGAAATTTTCCTGGCATCAGTGGGAGTAAACATCACATTTGGTCTTAGGGGAAGAAATAGTGCCCCGTTCTTGGTGCCAGTGGGAGGAACGGTGCCCCGTTCTTGGTGCCAGTGGGAGGAACGGTGCCCCGTTCTTGGTGCCAGTGGGAGGAACGGTTGCCCCGTTCTTGGTGCCAGTGGGAGGAACGGTGCCCCGTTCTTGGTGCCAGTGAACGGTGCCCCGTTCTTGGTGCCAGTGGGAGGAACGGTGCCCCGTTCTTGGTGCCAGTGGGAGGAACGGTGCCCCGTTCTTGGTGCCAGTGGGAGGAACGGTGCCCCGTTGGGAGGAACGGTACGGTGCCCCGTTCTTGGTGCCAGTGGGAGGAACGGTGCCCCGTTCTTGGTGCCAGTGGGAGGAACGGTGCCCCGTTCTTGGTGCCAGTGGGAGGAACGGTGCCCCCCCCCGTTCGGTGCCAATGGGAGGAACGGTGCCCCGTTCTTGGTGTCAATGGGAGGAACGGTGCCCCGTTCTTGGTGTCAATGGGAGGAACGGTGCCCCATTCTTGGTGTCAATGGGAGGAACGGTGCCCCATTCTTGGTGTCAATGGGAGGAACGGTGCCCCATTCTTGGTGTCAATGGGAGGAACGGTGCCCCATTCTTGGTGTCAATGGGAGGAACGGTGCCCCATTCTTGGTGTCAATGGGAGGAACGGTGCCCCATTCTTGGTGTATATGGGAGGAATAGTGCCCATGGTGTCAATGGGAGGAATAGTGCCCCATTCTTGGTGTCAATGGAGGAATAGTGCCCCATTCTTGGTGTCAATGGGAGGAACAGTGCCCCATTCTTGGTGTCAATGGGAGGAATAGTGTCTCGTATCAGGAATACTGCTACAAGGGCCAGATAAAGGCAAGCAAGGGGGTCGCACCCGGCCCTTGGTCCACAGTTTAGAGACCATTGGTATAGAGGAAGAGTTACACTACCAACACGCGAAATTTGAATGACCTGTGTAAGCTACTAAAAATAGTTATGTCCACTCTTGCATTGCGTTTGTAGAGCCCTCATATATGAGGCCAGCAGACGATGCAAGAATTATGGATAGACATGTCGAAGGGCAGATCTGGATCAAGAAAACAATGCAGGAAAAAAAGGGACAGATGGGGCAGGATTTATGGACAGGCAGATCCAAGTGACAATGCAGGAAAAACGGAGAAATGGACCCAAGTCCAGTAGAAGGTAGAAGAGTGGTAGGGTGCTCCATGTGCAGCGTTTGAGGACTAAACTTATCAGTAAACTGCCATATTTGGTCTTCTGTGATATTAAACAATTCAATAAGAAGCACAATCCAGCCCTGTGCCGGTAAACAAAGGTATTGCTCATTCATACACTTAATAGGCTTCAAGCTAATCAGTCATCTGAGCTGAAACAGCAGATATCGATGTGAAGTTCAGAGGTCAAGCAATACACCCATCACTGCCTTCCTCTCAGCCAGGAATACACAGAATGCCTTTGTTTAAGCCAGCGTCCCAACAATATGAATCACACCCTTTTCAAGATTTTCAGACGTCCATTCCAGAATTGTGCTTTCCTGATAGTCAAATTAAAGATAGGATTGTCTGCTATTTAAAATGTTATTGAATTCTTATAAACCTAAAGTGAACCTGTGCCCAGACTAGTCATACTACACATATTCTGAACAAGCAGTAAATGTACGACAAGCCCTCATTCACTTCTGTAGCTATAAGCATGGTGGAGAAAATCAGTTTTGGACGTTTTCTGAGAGCAGATTCTTGGCAGTTCGTTCACTTAGTGTTCTTTGTATTTTGCTTTTTATATGTGTATTTGTTTAGGTATAAAGAGAAAGTGAGTGCTCTTAAAATCAGCAGCTATAGCACCAAAAGGTAACCAATAAAAACCTTCAGAGAATCATAACAAGTAAAAGGTGCAGCGATAAAAACATATATAAAAATACTAAATGTCCATAAATGAATTAATAAGCCAAATTATATGGTGTCAGTCTGCGCAGATCTGGGTAAGAGAACAGTAGAATCCAAATAGCGGTGGTGCTCCAAAAAGTGTGGTAGAATTATGCACTCACCAGATGCGTAACGTAAATACGCATTGTATTTCTACAATGCGTATTTACGTTACGCATCTGGTGAGTGCGTAATTCTACCACACTTTTTGGAGCACCACTATTTGGATTCTACTGTTATCTCTTACCCAGATCTGCACAGACTGACCCCTTATAATTTGGCTTATTAATTAATTTATGGACATTAGTATTTTTATATATGTTTTTAGCGCTGCACCTTTTACTTATGTGTATTTGTTTGTTTGTGTACTGTTGCTTCAGATTTGTTATTTTACGTTCTTTTTGCTGTTGGGACAGTCACATTTGTGCATTGCCATGCATTGTTAACATGGGAGTGCATCACCATTTCATTGTGAATGGCACCCCAACACATTGTACAGTAGATGTGGACGGAGGAGAGACGGGGAGCGCTAGAATACAGTCCCAGGTGGATATACAAAATGTATGTAAAACAAATTAAAATATAAATATATGGCAAGTGAGTGAAGTAGCACTTTTGGAATTCCAAGGGGGGACACTGATGGAGATATATAAATTAATCTTCCAAAAAGACAAAGTAGTCCATAGTTTCATAAATCAACGTCTATATACAAGTCCATGGGGGATGTGGACCAGATACTAGCCAGCTGTCAGAGATGAAGCTTCTCTATAGAATGGGATGCAAATGGAGACACAGCAGTGCTTATCTGAGTGTAGTATTAAAAAGATATATTTAATCAATATAGTTAACACAACTCACAAAAGATGAATAAAAGGCTTGCAAATAACATGAACTGGCTGCTCCAGACTCGATCTGCTCCGGGGACTGTAGGCATCGTTGTCCGCGGTCCGCACTGGTGGTGTCCAGAACTCCTAAGGATCCAAAGCCTATAGCCGTGACGTCACCGGAAGCGGAGAGGCGAGGGCAGGCTCATTGATTGGTGCGTGTTCGGAGCATGCGGCTCCTTCCACAGGCCTCTCGCTAGTTGCTTTAACCATATTGATTAAATATAGCTTTTTTTGGCCCCATGTACACGGAACACTTCTGAACGATGGAAACTGACTGCTGGAAAACATAGGCTAAAAAATGTCTGTTTGCATTTAGAAGCATTTTTTAAAGATAAGCACAGGAGCACCTCCCAAATGCCCAGAATGCACTGAAAAGTGTTAAATTATTAACTATTTCAGACTGTTTCAGAGAAATACAGAGAGTAGAAGCAGAGACAGCAGTATGTATTTAGATAATTAGGTGCAAGTTGCTCATTAACATTTCTTTTGTTTCCAAGGGTTGGGAAGGTGTCTGGTGGGGGGAGTAATTAAGGCCACCTGGCAGGGGGTCTTCATGAGGAATTTGAGGTGTGAATGGTCATTAACATATCTTTTGTTTCCAAGGGTAGGAGAGGTCCGAGTTGTGAATAGTCATTAACATATCTTTTGTTTCCGTGGGTGAGAGAGGTCTGAGGTGTGAATTGGTCATTACAATGTGTGACACATTTGGTAGGAACATCCTGTGTTCAGTGTTTTGTCCATCTGAACACCTTGAAAAAACTCTTTGCATGCATTTCTCATGATAAAAAAGGCTGTGGACAGCACTGGGGACTACAAAAGTTAAAAAAAAAATTCACACGCTTATAAAAACGTGATTTGCCGCGTTTACAAGCGTTTTGCGTTTGAAACGCTGATAAAATTGACTGCTGAACGCAAGTTTGTTGCATTAAAAAAAAAAAACGACTGTAAACTCAACTGCCTGTAAACGATGATGTGTACGTGGACAAATAGGAAACCATTAGGGAGCGTTCAGGGACTGCTGAAAAAAAATGCTGAACAGCTCCTAAACGTACGTTTTTCAGCTGCAGTGTACATGAGCCCTTAATACCACACTCTGATAAGCGCTGCCGTGTCTCCATTTGCATCACATTGTACAGTAGAGCCCATCGCACAAGACACCGCAGAGCACCACAATGTATATAGTACTATATATAGTATATGGGCGGAGCTTTCTGTGACGTCACCTCGTTCCGGCCGGTGGTCTGACACCGTGGGAAAGTTAAATGTTTGCACTGCCTTTATGCACCTTATCTATGTAGGTGCAATACTTTAATACATTTTTTGCTGGTTTATTGGGTCTCATTAAAAAGTTTTCTTTTTCTGTTTTAAACCTTTCCTTGCATGATGTGGAGAGCTGTCTGATGTGATGGATTCGTTCAAGTGAACCTACAGTTGCCCATTCATCTCCTTTATACGGCTAACTAGGGTGTCAGTGTGGGATCTGAACACCAACTGCTCGTTTGATCTCTTGATTGGAGATCAAAGTGTCCGGCAAGAGGCTGATTTTTCTTCTTTTGTGTCAGGCATTTGTGGACACCTGTGCACTTTCCGTTGGAGGATTTCTTTCGCACACAGCACTGTGTTATTGGATTTTGGGACTTAAGTATTTAATAATGGAATGTGGACTTATATCATTTCAATGAACTTATGCACATTTTTTATGTAGTAGCATTTATTTGCTTGATTCTTTGATTATTTAGTGTACAGCACACTCATTTTTCATATGTGTTGCGGTACACTGCTTTGCTAAAGAAGGGTCATGGAAATTTTTTTTCCCATCCCTTGCTGTTGGCAGCCCATTTATAATAAAAAGGCAGCCTTAATGCCAAGAACCCGAACGAGCATTAGTGTCCCAATTAGTAATGAGACGAACATACTGGGGTTTGGTGAACATTACTAATGTTTGAGTGCAGAATCCAAACCCTACTGAAGTCTATAGAAGCCAAATGTTAACAGTTCTGGGTATATTCTAGGCTAAGAAGCAAAGGATTGTCAAACAAATGGCATGGGGGGGTTGCAGACACTGCCCTGGGGGGCCATATTTAGGCCATGTCGTCACCCCCTGCCCCTTTGTTTACGTGGCATGGGATTCCCAGCCCTATAAGTAAATGGGCCAGCTGACATCAATGGTTGTTAAGGACACACTGGGTGAAGCCCGCTGCTTCCTTAGCAACCATTGACAGCAGGAAACCATCTTGTTCATTCATACACAACAAACGTCCTAAACATTTGGCGGAGAGTAATAGGCTTTAAAAAAAAACCCAATGAATCATTATGGTGCGTGTTTTATACGGATAGGAAAATATAGAAGGATTTCTAGAGAACACAGCTGTACATTGGAGTACAAAAGAAATCTTGAAGTTTCTGCGGACTGACGAGACCTGAGTCAATATATGAACTGGAACAAAAGCTTACCACCCAGATACATGTAAACATGGCCTTTTCAGCAACAGACGGTATATAAACATTTTACTGCTGTCAGAGTTTCTGCCTATGAATATACAGCTTGCATCTATTAACCTGTTTGTTGCCAAAATGAAGTCTCAGTACTAGGTTAGAGGTTGAGGTGAAAGCCCGGGCCGTGCCGTCCAGGAGGATGATTGAGATGGCTGCCACTGGAGGAGGCACAATAGAGAGGAGACACTGAGGCTGAAAAGTCCATACCAGATACATCATCCTCAGTGTAGATATGCAATGTTGAGCCTTGTAAAACTACAGCTACCTGCCCGGCTGATGCACCTGTCAAACAGGCAAAAATGGCCGCTCCGATCAGCATTTGCCCCCACTCCCCACCCCACCTGGTAAAAGCCCAATTGTACTTTAAAAATGTAGGCAAAACTAACATGCAAAGCTCCTTCGTGTAACTTACTGGGCCGGAGATGGAGTTCCATACAATGGAGACGCCACCCACCGAAGGAACAGGCATTAAGACCATGATGTATGCTAAAATGGGTCATCCCCAGTGTAG